TATTTGGTTGGTTGATTGGTTTTGACACATGGTCTTGCTATGTAGCTCAGACTGGCCTTGAACTCACTACATAGCCCATACTGGCCTCAGACTTGCAGCTCCTTTCATCGCAGCCTCCTCCCAAGTGCTGGGATTACAGGCCTGTGCTGCCACACTCTGCTCTGGTGATATTTTATCATTTTCTAGAATTCTATGGGTCTAATGCAATAAAAACTTCTTGGATCCAATTGGCTGAATTTTTACTTTCTGATCAAATGAAAGGGAAATAACAGGATTGCTCTTCTTTATTCCCCTCCCTGAGACTTTAGAAGGAGAAGGACCAGGGCCGGTCAAATAGCTCAGCGGATTAAAGCATCTGCAAGCAGGCCCGGGGGCCGGGGGTTTGATCCCCTGGCCCGCCATGCCCAGCACTTGGGAGGCTTAAAACAGGAGAATCACTACCAGTCCGATCTAGTAGTGAGATCCTGAACACCCTGTAGACCTTTCCCTAAAATACAAAAAAAAAAAAAAATCATATAGTTAATGTGTATAAGTAATACAACTTCCTTTTTAGAAAATCATCCTAGAGTGTGTGCAGTATGCAGGCCGTGGGGTGTGCGTGCCTGCTAGGGTTTGGCTCAGTGCTTCTGAAACTAAGGAGACAGAGCTGTGGCAATAGAATCATGAAGGTAATTGTAGACCAGGCTGGGCGGCACACAACCCACAGTTACAGCTACTGAGAGGCGCTAGCTGGAGGATCGTGGGTTTGAGGCCAGCCTGGGCAACATAGGGAGACCTGTCTTAAAAAAAGACTGCCCTGGGGCTGGTGAGATGGCTCAGTGGTCTAAAGCACCTACTTAGAACAAGCTTAGTCAAAGCACAGGGACTGCAGTTCGATCCCCCAGCACCACATGCCAGCCAGCCCGCCCCCTGGTGGGCTGAGCTGGCCACACACACACACACACAAATAAATAAATAAATAAATAAATAAATAAAAGCCCAGCTCTTGGAAGGCTGAGCCAGAAAGATCTGCAAGGGGGAGGCCAGCCTGAACTACATAGCAAGACTCTGTCTTAGAGAAAAAGAATCATGAGTCTCTGTGTGATACCTAACATCACTTTTTCCAAGCTCTGTTTTCTGTGAGAGCCCTCAGGGAATCTGTTGTCTCCGTCATTCCTCTGAATAGAGCAGCAGCCTCTCAGTGCTTCTGGAAGAACTTGTTAGTGAGACTTCCCTGGCTCTAAGGCCCGGGGGAAATTTGATTATGAGATTGTATTTATCCAGGAAAGCGGTGGTTACATTAAAACTTGGCCTTTTCCATTGATGACTGACCAGAAGCTCTACTGAGGATGAAAAGCAGGGGACAAAAAAGATGAAGAAAAGCAAGGAAAGGAACAAGGCAATGTTTAATAAAACTAAAGATCTTTGTGAAACAGAGGTTCCTCCTGGGTTGTCTCTCCTGTCTCCTGAGCCAGACCAGTCAGGACTTGTCCGAAGTGGACAGCATCTCCCCTGTCCAAGTGAGGAGACTTTTTTCTAGTCTGATGGCCCCTTTGCTCTCTCTGCAAAACCACGTATGCAGAACTTCCCACTGCTTTGGGAGTCCCTAAATGATTATTTCAACTTGATCCCCATTGGAAGGACCCAAAATTCCAAACTAATGTATCAGGCCCTAAAATGCCTGTGACACATCGCCACACTGGGAGTGTGGCTCTACTACTGTGTAACAAGAGGATACAAGGGCCAGGGAGATGGCTCAGTGGAATAAGTGCTTGTCTGGCAAGCGCAAGGGCCTGAGTGCAATCCCCAGCTTAAAAAAAAAAAATCCAAAAGGCTTGAGTTGTCAAGAATCAAATTAAGGTCAGCCTTAACTTAGAAGGCCTGCAGAAGGATGCCTGGGAATTCCCATACATCCCTCAGGATATCCTTTCGAAATAAAGCAAGCTCAGTGACAGAGCTTTTTGTTCAAACAATGGGGATCTTTAACTTCTAGTTCACATTTCTTTCTCAGATGGTGGCAATGCTTAGAAAAGTTGTAGGGAGCAGATGAAAGGAGGAGCATTTTCTACTCAGCATAAGGATTCTCAGGCAGTGAGTCAAGTTTGGAAAATTGTCCTTTCAGTGGTCAGTGAAGAGAAGCCCAATTTCCATCTAGTGGTGCAAGAAGGGAAAGCTGAATGAGATTCCAGCAAGAAGCCTTTGTGGGGGAAAAAAAAAAGCCTTTGTGGGTCAAAGTGACAGGATAGTGGCCTCTGGACAGGTGTCCTCTCCAGAATGTGACAGAACCTGGCCATGGGGGTGCACTGTATTATTCAACAAGGCAATCCAGAAAAGAATAAAATGATCGCCGCGCTCCCAGCAACAGTATCCTATTCCTGAAAGCTGACCAAGCTGTCTCCAAAAAATGTTCAAGAGGCCAGGGAGATAGCTCAGTAGAAGAAGTGCTTGCCTGGCAAGCTCAAGATCCTGAGTTCAATCCCCAGTACCAAAAAAGAAGGAAAGAAAGAAAAAGAAAGAAAGAAAGCAAGCAAGCAAGCAAGCTTGAGATTGCATACAGTTGGCCTGGTACAGCGCTGTGATGCCTTCCTACTTATGATTTTCCAACAACTTCCCAATATGTTTAACTAAAGGGCCTACTCTTCTTCTGCTCTTTATTCCTCTTTTTTACTTTTGCTTTTACACCAGTTCTAGAAAGTCATAAAATCATACGACCCACCTTCCCTGCAATCCCAACTGTCGCTGTGAACCAGCACAGCAGCCTGCTTTCCAGCCGTCATTAGTGTGTCCTCTCAATGAGAGGCTCCCTCTACCAAAGCGGTGTGCCCCTGCAGTTTGTGCCACCCCTCTGCCCTCTGATCAGGAAGGAGAGACAAGAGCCTGGCTGTTTCCTCGCCTGCACTTTATTGGACTCATCCAGCAGGCTGGCTCCAGCCGTTCACACTGCTCAGACACCACCCATAGCATTTAGGACGGTACCGTCATTCTGTGAAGGCCCAGAGCCCAACTGGCCCTAGCACTCCAAGTTGGATCACCAACCAGAGGGTGGAGAATGGAGATGGAAACAGATGGGAAGGGCAAGGCTCTTGGGGGAAGGCGGTGAGGTCTAAGCAAAGCTTGATCCAGCAGGACCTGAGAGCACACTGTGCTAGGAGAATACTTAGGGACTGGAGGGGGAGGGGAGGGAAAGGATGGGGGAGGGGTGGGGGAGGGGGCAGGTCCCTGTGCGCAGCTGCTCACATCATCTATATGGCAACCTTGAGCAGGCGCTTGATGTCAGGCTCAATGTTAATGGTATGAAAGGAGCGGCTGTAGCGGCGGAAGGGCTCCCCCTCAGGCCCTACGAGGAACTTCTCAAAGTTCCAGGACACATCTGAGCGCCGCACTGGACTCCACGTGATAAGCTTGGGATCAGTCATGAGGGAAAATGGGTCATCGTAAGGGTAGGGGAGTTTGTCCTTCAGGTAGGCGAAGACAGGGTGCTCGTTCTGCCCGTTCACCTCACACTTCTGGAGGAGAGTAAAGGTGGGCTGGAATCCACCCCCGGGGCGGACGTACTTGAGACTGTTCAGGATCTCCTCATTTTGACAGTTTTCCTGGAAGCAGAAAAAGACAGAGGGGAAGGGGAAATGACAGATCCACCTGCAAATCCTTCTGCCTCCTTCACCCCCTTCCCAGGCTCATTACCCGCCCTTCCCTCTCCCTTTCTCTCTGACACTCCACATGAGCTCTCTTCTCAGAGTTGTGCTCTCCGCTATTGTTTTATAGTGGCGCAAGGCCTCTTCTGGAAGTTCTTACAGCTCTGAACCTGGCTCTTCTTGCACTTAATGATCCGACTGATCCCAGCTGTCTCTGGACAGCTCTTGAGTTATTGTCTGAATCTTCAAGGAACCTTGAATTCAGGGCAGAGAAGAAAAGGAAAGGGGTTCAGGTCACACTACCTGGACCCTGTCCTACTTAGGACAAGCCTATCAAAGCTTCTAGCTCTCGGCCTGCCTTGTCCTACAGCTCAAGTGCAAATAGGAGCAAGCTTGTACCCTAGCCAAGGAGCTCTAGTTTTCAGACGCCAAGAAAGTAAAGCAAGTTAGAGGCAAGAGCAAATGTTCTCTACCTGGAACTACCTAGTGGGGGACAGCCAGGATATTACAACAGGAATGAATCAAATTGGGTAGAGGGTTTAAGGTTCAAGAATGTGTGTGTGTGTGTGTGTGTGTGTGTGTGTGTGTGTGTGTGTGTGGCGGGGGTGTGTGTCAATTGATAAAATAAGTGCTTGGGGCTGAAGTTCATTGTAATTATTCCTTCCACATCTAGGGTGCTATCCATCACACCCCATCTTCACTCCTTGCATTCAACTATGGATGCTTTCATTTAGAAGCTGTCACCTGTCTTTCCCTCCCTACAGCCCTTCCTGTCCTGTATCCGCTCAGCACTCCCCATCCTCAACAACCACAAAGGCCTGTAAGAACCCTTACTTTCCACCCCTGCACTCCGGTCTGAAAGTATCTCCCTCTGGAGAAAGTTCCTGCCTCCAACCTACAGAATCAATTAGACCAGTCAGGTCTAGGCTTCGTGACACTCCTGAGCTTCCCCTGATCTCTATTAGACTTCTTATCTCTCAGTACATGGCTGGCTTCTGGACTCCTTCCAGCAACCAACTAGCTCAAACATGGGTTGTAAGGCTGAAGATATTGGGGCTGGAGATGCCTCTGAAGAGATTGTGCCTCTTCTGTCTCCCCTACCCTGGTGAAGGCTGGAAAGAGAACTGAGGGGAGGAAACAGCAAGTAGTCATGGTCTGGGCTCTGGCTGGTCATATCTGAGCCTTCTGCCTTCCTGCTTACACCTTGGCCAATCCTCTCTTACCTTCATGCTGCTGTGAACTAAGGGAATGAAATTCGGAGGATACACTTGGGGACATATGGTCTGCTTGTGCAATTAAAGTCATAATTAGAAGAGCACTTGAAGTGTGCAGGCTGAAGGTCTGTAATGACTCGGCTTATTATAAGGAGGCAGATGGGTGCTACCCAGAGGAGACGCCTCCCTGCTGTGAACCTTTCTCCTTTTTCCACATCTACTTTCTACTGCTGATTTAAACAAATGAGTCTTCAATCTAAGTAACAAATTTGTGTTTGCCTAGTACTCTGTATTTTCCTACTTCCTTCCATATATCTTATCCTCTTAACCTCACTGCAGGCCTCTGAGTGGATATTATCTAAGAAAAATTGTCCTTTCCAAGGGCACAGAGCCATGAAAGAACGGAATGAAGATCTCTTGAGTCTGTCCAGTCCTGGTTTGATCCTTAACTTTGTTTTTCCTCCACTCATTCAACAAATATTTCATGAGCCTCCCATGCAACTGGCACTGAGGACATAATAGAAAGAAGACCATACCTGGTCCCATCCTTCATGGAATAGAGTAGAGAAACAATAATTAAACATACACTTTCCATGTTTAACCTCAAAACTTATCTGTCTCCCTTGGTGCTCACATGCACCTGAAGACCTAGCTGCAAAAACATGACTCCAGACTAAGACACATGGTCGTTCACCCCTCTCCAGGGTCCTCCTGACCAAACTATGTCAGCCCAGTTCTCTGGTACCACAAGGAACCACTCACCTGATGTCCGAATTGGTTGCAAGGGAAGCCAAGAACTACCAGGCGCCTGGGAAAGCGGCACTGCAGCTCGTTGAGCTGGGTGAAGTCCCGGGTGGTCGTGCCTCAGAGGGAGGCCACGTTCTCAATCAACACCGCCCTACTGCGGAATGTGTTGAAATCTATCTTCTCCCCATCCAGACTGATGGCGCTGAGGTCGTAGAAGGACTTGGCAATGTAAGCCATGGTGAAGAGCAGAGCCCAGTGGGGTGAGCCCACTTAAGGGTCTAGGAAAAGGGTGGGGAGGAGGAGGAGCTGCAGGGATGGGCAGGACGCACAAGAAGCCTTTGAGAGATCCCTGGATGACTTTGCAAAAACAAGCACCCACCTGTGTGTGTTGTTTGAGCAGGGAGGTTGCTCCTCCTCCTCTGAGACTGAACAAAGCCACCTCGCTGCCCCACCCTGCTGGCAGACTGGAAAGGGGCAGCTTGATATCTATGAGCACCCGTGAATAATTCACTACTTGCAGGAAACCAGAGCCCTAAAGGTCAAATGGGAGGAAAAAAAAAAGGAGGGAGGAATGCAAGATTGACTTCTGCTTGCCCCAGCAAGTACTTTCCTCCGGCACAGGTATTCCTGCAGTGCTTTTCTGAGGTGCCAGTCTCTGAGTTGTGTCTTGAGAGGTCAAAGTCTGGCAAGATCTAAAAGATGGGGAAGGGGGTCGGGGCTCATGCCCACCTTATGGGACAAACACCGAGATCTGTATAACTGTTCACATTTTTCTCATTAGCTGTTGCTCTCTATAAAGTCAAAGAGACACAAACCAGAGGGCCCCACGAGGACAATGTGTCATTTTCAAGCACCTCATTTGCATCAGGCAGAAGAGGTACAGTTGTGTTTGTCCTGTTTCCATGGCTGGCTCTCCTTGTCCTTGGGGCCCTTCTCCCTTGTCCCTGCGCTGTCCCATCTCCCATGTTGATCCTCTCCCGTCTCCTTGACCCCCACGCCAGAGTCCTGAGGATGCAGCCGTTGCTGGGATAGTGCTCACGAGCAGGTGGGTAGGCTCCAGGTGGATGAACTGCTGCTCCCACTTCCCCTCAGAGAGAGCTGCAGCCCAGCCCTCGGAGGCCTTGTGCGGCTCCCTAGGAAGGAAGGGTGTGGGGAGGTGGACTGCTGAGGTGCCAGGCCAAGAGGACAGCACTGCCCGACCTCTCAGGGCCTGCTGAGGACTGGCATGGAGACCCACCCCCAGATGCCTCTGAAACTGAAAAGACCCTGCAGTCACTCCATTCTTCAAGCATCCTCCAACTAAACAAACCATTTTTCAAAATAATTTTTAAAGTGCCCAGCTTCTCCATCAGTGAAGCCAGTAATTAGACCTTTCCCGGCTTCAAGAAAATTTTTAGTAAGAAGGCCGGTGTTTCCCAGAGTGTTTTCACAAGTAGGCTTTCAGTGGGAACTGTCTCCCAGAACAAAGCCTAAGCAAGGCTGGGAGCAGCTGTTCTTGAGACTGATTTATGGAGGAAGTGGAGGAACTGCCCACAAGGGAGTACCCCACTTTTCCATCTTGTTTCTTGTTCCCGGGCTTTTTAAGTACATGGGAACCATGTCTCAACTGGCTACTCCCTAAAAACTAGTTTCCATTATCCAAGTGGAATGGAATCATTTGCCAACAAAAGGGTGACAGGATCTACAGAGCCAAGTGTGTCCCCTGCTGAGGCTGGGTGCAGTTCCTGGACGCAGCCAACAAACGTCCCTTCCAACTCACTGAGTCAGAGGGACTTGGTACCAACAGTGGGCGAAGCCCTCACATTAACTTGCTAGGTTTATGTGTTTGCCTAGGGCTCCCCCCGTCCTTGGGCAGCCAGAGAAAGCTCCTCTTCGCTGCTCCTTTGCAAGCCCTCCTTGGGGCAGGTGGGCCACAGGAGTGCAGAGTGAAGACAGGGGACATGGTCTCCCTTTCTGCCAGCTCAACTAAGGAGTTGCACACACACACACACACACACACACACACACACACACACACACCCCGCTTGCACCCCTACAGTTAGCTACACCTTCTGGGGTGCTCAGAGATTACCTGTTTCCAATTTTACTTCCACTGGCCCTGTTCTCCTGGGCATGCCCTGGCAACTGTCCTGTCCTTGAAGCCTTCTGCAGTGTGCTGGTTGCTTTCTGGAGCAACCCTGACTGCTTGCTCAGTTCTGACTGCAAATGAGAATTGCTTATAGGGTCTCTTTCAAATAGAAACACCAGCAATTCCTTCTCCAGATGCCGTGGCGGTGGCTGCCACCCATCATTCTACTACTGTTACTCGGGGCGCTTCGGCAAATCTTTGAAGCTTCCAAGCACCTGTTTCCTTATCAACTGAACACTGATAAAGACAACCACCTTCCTTCTCCTATGCAGTGATTGTTAGGATCAGAGGAAATAAAGTATCACAGGTGCTCAGTAAACTATGAAATGTTTTTGTTTTTTGGGTTTTTTTTGGCCAGCTCAGCCCACCCTGATTGAACTGTGGTCGCCTTCGCCTGCCTAAGCTTGCCTAAGTAGGCTCTATAGACCACTGAGCTATCTCACCAGCCCCTAAGTTCTTAAGACTGCAATTGCCCTGACCTGTTTTACTTCTTCCTTCTACCCTGACCCCATTCCCACATGCTGATCACTTAGTCCCTCACACCTTCAGGAAGATCTGCTTCTCATCCATCCTGCACAGATGAAATCTGCTATGCTTTAAAGACTCCCTGTTGCACCTTGGATCTAAATGTCCCCCCCAAACCCCATGTGGTCCTCAGTGAAGCTTTGATCTAGGGTGCATGCTGCTGGGACCAGGGCTGTGAAGCTGGGATTCAAGATGCCCCCACCTGGGAAAGTGCCACCTGCCCTAAGGGCATGTAGCCCACAGGCTGTATGGGACAGAAAGTGTCACTGCCTTCTGTCCTCTGAGACATTTCTCCTCTGATACCCCTCTGCCACACCGGGCTGCCTTGGAGCCAGCTGACTGCAGCGACCTCTACAAACTGAGCTAAATAACCCTTTCCTCCTTTAACCTTGGGGGCTGAGTATTTTCTTTCAAAGATGAGAAAACAAGATAACACCCCACATATACCCCAACATAGATGTTTAGTGTCCTCCAGTGACTGGGCTTAATCTTATTTCTGCAGTGGGAGCTGGGCTTCTTTGCAGGCAGCACTAAGAAAGGTAGAGAACTGAAGACAAAGTTTGCCACGTCCATGGTCACTCTGTGGCTGCTGATTGGGGATTCTGGGCCTCCTGCATCAGGACTCCCACTCCTGCTCTCACCTCACCCCCAGGCACCCAGCAAGCCCTTTTCCTTGGGGCATGCACAGCAGCCACACTTGTGGTTTGAAATATTCTTTATTTTGTAAACATCTGTGTTTAAAATAAATGAACCCTGCTCACAATTGGGATAATGGATTGGAGACACAGTACACGAAGTTCACCTGTCACAGGGAGATGGCGGGGCTCAGGAGCAGGTGGTACCCAGGGGCCGAGCCGAGTCTCAAGGCACAGGGCCAGAGACCATGCCAAGAAGGCAGGCCAGAACAGCCTGTTCAACAGTCTAGGCTCAGGACACCGCCTGGCCACCTGCAGGGCATGGGGGCGGGGTAGGTGGAGGCCAACTGTGGTTCTGCTAAGTGCAGCTGCACCCTGAAATCCCAGCCCTTTTTGCTTCTAGCCCTGGCCCTGTTGGAGAGGGCTCGCTGGTCCAGGCTTTCCCTTCCAGACCCTTAAGTTACAATAAAAAATATAATCCTTTCCTGAGGAGGCTAGGAGAGAAAGACACTGGTGCTCTGCCCGATCTGCAGGGCGCACAGGACACTGGCCTACAGGTGGGAGCAGTGCCTCATGATTCTCCTTTCTCAGCTCCTGGCTGAGGGCAGACAGGCCTGGCAGCCCCACCCTGCCCCCCTCCACGTGGCTGCTCCCGTCAGTCCTCGCAGCCAAGCCATCATGGCTTCATTCTAAGGCCTCAGCTTTGAAGTTTCTCATCTGCCAATGACTTATTCCTATTTCTGCTTTTTTCTTTCACCGTCCTCACCTCTCCTCCACCCTGAGCCACCCTCTCCTGCTGCCTCTCCCCAGGTTGGTCCAGAGCCAGGAGGAAATGTCCAGTGATTTTATCTTCACTTCCTTCTTTGGAGGAATAAGGAAGGGGAGCGGGGTTGGAGTGGTGGGGTGTGGTCTTGGTTGGGGAACAATGCTCAGTGCCTGATTCTTCCTTTAGGTTCCAGCCCCAGGCACTCAATCCTCTTCCCTGGGCTTCTCCCACCTCAGGATGGTGACACAATGACCACCAGAGTCCTTCAAGTTGCTCTTGGGATATAGGGGTCAAAGAACCTTCCTGAAAGCAAAATGGGGAGGAGGGAAGTCCTCCCTGCCCTGGCAGCCACAGTGCAGCTGGCAGATCCTCAAGCCTGCGAAGTGGCAGGAGGGCCAGATAAGCCCTGTCTCAAAGACTAGAGGACAGCACCAGGGCCATCTTTCGCTCTTCCCAGGAGTTTGCCCTTCCCCACAGGTGCTAAGGCCTAGGGAACCTTGGTGGCCAAAGGCTGGGTTCAATCAAAGAGCCACACAGTGACATCACCTCTCACATCTGCCTGAGATTCTGAGGAAAAGTTCTCACACAGGCAAGGAAGAGGAGACCAGGGGCCCTGGCTGCTGCTGCTGCTGCTGCGGCCCCTCTGCTTTGTGCCTCGCGGCCCCTGGCCTGCTTGCACCTGCTCTGCCATCTAAGAGCTGGGCGTTCCCTTCCAAGCACTCCCCTTTCTGGAGTTGTGGTTGGCCTGACAGTGTCACCGGCTCTCCGGCGCCCCGGCACTCAGGCCTTGGTGCTGTCTTGACACTCTGGAGCCCAGAAGGAGAGAAACTGTACGTGCTGCGTGAGAGGTAGCGCATGGAGGTGACGTTTTATCCCTGCCACCCCGCGTCATTTTCTCTTCTCTGAAGCAGCCTCTGAACTCAGTTCCCCATAGAGATGGGGCAGCTGAGCAGGGCCAGAGCTCAGGCAGGGGGAGCAGGCAGAGGCAGGATGGTCCCAGGCTGAGGACCCCCAGCTGGCATTTCCTTCCTACCTCTGAGGTCCTCAGGGAGACAGGCCCATGGCACAGGCAGGAGCAGTGGGGCGGGAGGAGGAGGAAGCACCCTTAGCCTTGGCTCACCCCGGGGCAGGGTGGGGGTCCTCCCCGGGGCAGGAGCGGGACTCCCCGTGACCCCAGGCCCATCGCCTTTGCGGGGTTGGAAGGAAGGAGGTGCTCCAGGAGCGCACAGCAAGCAAGACACAGGCAGCGCGTGGGAGGGGCCACCATACGGAGCACGAGGAGGGAGAGCGTGGGAAGGGCAGAGCAGCCAGACGCGTGAGGAAGGACAGCGACAGCTGCAGCTGCTGCCTGTGGTCTCAGCCACTGCCGGGGAGCTGGGCGTGGGGCGCTGCTCGCAGCACACTGGGGGTTACAGCAGGCCAAAGGAAACCACTCCAGGATAGTGGGACCAGGGACCAAGGCTGCTCGGAGAGGACGGCAGAGCAGCTCTCAGGGCCAGGCTGGGGCGCCGAGCAGCTGTTGATTCACAGGTCATCAAGGAGAGGGCAGTGGCGGGCCCAGCCCAGGCTCCCGTGTCCCCCAGGGGAACAGTTTGTGCGGGGCGCTCCACGCAGGACCCTCAGCACCAACAGGTTTTCGAAGAGTTTACAGGGCCCTCGGGCTTGCCCTCCTCTTCCTCCAGCTCCGCCAAGGCCAGCTGGTTGCTAGCGCGCACACGGAGTCCGTCCAGCTCCTTCCTGTGGGCCTGCAGCACCAGCTCCGTCAAGCGCGTGAAAGACTGGAAACCAAGACCGGGTCAGTGGGGGGTCGCTCCTCCCCGCAGCCCGCGTGGCGGAGGGGCCACCTCCTCCCCCTTCTGCCTCCCGCTCTGCAGCTCAGCCGGAAGGGCGCTGGTCCCCACCACTCTCACCTCTTTGATGTTGAGGTTGGTGCAGGCACTTGTTTCGTAGAAGTCCATGCCGTACTCCCTCGCCAGCTGCAAAACAAGACGGCCTTTCTGAAAGGGGACTAGGAGGCAACCTCCACGTGGCGCGTCCTCCTTCTGCCATGCTCTCACACATCACACTGTGTTGTGACAATTCCTCATAAGCTTGAACGTTCCTTCCAGGACAAGGCGGGCAGAGAAGGGGGTGTTCTGTCCCTCCAGCCCACCCAGACATCACCTAAACCACCAGGATTCAAAGACAGCAACATGCAGTGGCAGTGAGCCCCACTGGTGCAAACACAGGCCCAGAGCACCCCGGCCCAGGCCGGATCACAAGTGCCGCCCCCACCACCCAACAGCTAAGCCGCCTGGGCAAGACTTGTTCGCCCTCAGCCTGGCCTCCTTCTCAGCTGAGCAGAGCAAGAGTGGCTGTCACCCACTGTGCAACGCATTGGGTCGTGCTTTCCTCCCCCTTCCCAGGTAGAGGAGTGGCCCCCGAGGGAGATGGGCTCCTGACTGGACTGACATCTATGGCAGCAGCCTTCCTTCTGCGTCCCTCCCATGGGGATGTTCTCTCACAGAGGTCACCTGCTGGGGAGCCTGGGGCCATAGGAGCTGCCGGAGGTCTTTCTATGTAGACTCAAGCCCCCTCCTGAAGGACAGCCAGCAGACTTCCGGGCTGTGGATGCCATGGATGCGTGAGGGGACCCGATGGCGGGGCGTACTCTGGGTGCCTGCTCACAGGATGGCCCTGACACACAGCACAAGACCCAGGTGGGCGCTGCTTACCTGCTGCCCTTGCTCCCTCCCCACTTGCCGTTTCTGTTCTTCATCCGCTTTGTTCCCTATGAGGATCTTCTGGACGCCTTCTGGTGCATACTATAGCAAGGGACAGGTAGAGCTGCCGGTGAGAGCTGCCCTCCCCCACACCTCCCCCGAGAGCTGCTGCCACACCTGAGCACAGGGACAGGCAGAAAAAGCTGCCCAGATGCAGGTGCCAGGCTCCCCCAAGGACAGAACCCCCTCACACACACACACACACACACACACACACACACACACACACAGTTTTGCTTCCACAATTTTAGTCAACTTGCTGTCAACCATGGCGGATAATGGGGGACTACTATACCATTGCTGGCGCCAGGAGTGCCAGGGACAGCCTAGAGTAGAAGACACTCTGGCTCATGCTAATGCCTTCTTGGGCTGAACAAGTGCCATCTGAGCTGGGAGGGACACTGGACTTTAAACCCAGCCCCCGTCTGGTGGATAGTGCAGGAGGCCCCTGAGTCCCAATGGCTTGCCCAGGGCCATGTGCACAGCCAGGCCCAGGAGCCCAGCTAGCAGCTCTACCTGCTCCTAAGGCTTCAGGGGGAAAAGTGCTCACAGGGTGGGCCTGAAACTGACTCCTTTCTGGGGAGGTACAGAGGGATTTCATCCAGGGGCGTGGGCAGTCAGATTTGCCAACAGCATGTCCTCACCCACCCTGAGCACTTCACTCTTCCTGCCTGACCCTTGCTTGGCCTTCCCCACCCTGTCAGCGAGGCGGTGTCTCCTACCTCGTCCACGTCACTGACCCACTTCATGATGTGTTGGTAAGAACGCTCACTGCTGATGTCATAGACTAAAAATATTCCCTGAGGAGAGAGGGAAGGGGAAGGGGAGAGGGAGGGACAGGAAGAGGGAGAGGGAGAGGGAGAGGGAGAGGGAGAGGGAGAAGGAGGAGAGGGAAAGGGAGAAGGAAAGGGAGAGGGAGAGATGGAGGGAGATGCACACAGACAGTGCAGTTGGAGCCACACTAGGACTCTTATAAACAGGCCCCTCCATTCTCTGTGTAGTGTGAGGACCCAGGGCATCTGCAAATGCCTGCTGCTCTCAGGCCCCTACAGCTGCCACCCTGCGACCATCACAAAACCCTCTGGGGAAGGAGGAACATACCACATGCTGTGACCTGGGCCCTTGGTGCAGAATCCAAGGTTGAAAGGGGGTAAGGGGCCTGCCTACAGTAAGTGCACAGGGAGTTAAGGAATGAACAATCTTTCTTAGGGCAGACTAAAAGGCTGCCCTGAGGGTGCCTCCCTGCCAGCAACCCGAGGGCTCTATTTTTGGGGACAGTGACACAGATACCTCAAGTACCCAGAGCTGGGCAAGCAGGTGGCAGCTTCCCACCTTCGAACCCTGAAAATGGTGGCTTACCTGGGCCCGTCGATAGTACTGCTTTGTGATGGTCTGGTATCTTTCCTGCCCCGCTGTGTCCCTGCAGTAGAAAGCCAGTCCCTGAGAGGAGCAGAAACCACAGGAACGGGCAGGGAAGGGTGAAGGAACTGGGAGACTGTGCCCTTGCAGTAGAGGCTGGGGAGCTGCAGCGCGAAAAATCAGTGGTGCTTTGGTCCCCAGAGGGATCCGAACACACTGGACTGCAGTGACAGGCCCGGTTCCCTCTGCTAGCTCTGGCAGGCCCTGCAGGCCGTTGGCCTTTCTACCCACACCTGGGCCCACAACCCAACTGGTTTTAACCAAGTTTGAACAACGCTCTTCTTAAATTTGGCCATTGTGGCCAGGCTTGGTTATACGGGAGAAGGCTGCTAAATGCCCAGTGCCCGTGGCACTTCTCAAGGTAAACCCTGTGCATTACAGGATGGAGAGCAAGCTCCAGAACTTCCACGAAGGATACTTCCGAGTTCCGGCTGGAGAGCCACAGCAGCCCCTGGTGGCTACTGCTGGAAACTGCACCATGCTGTAGGCGGAACTCAGGGTACCACCCTAGGGATGGGGTGGAGCTTTCCCTCCGTAACCACGGTGTGGGAAATCCTAAGGGAAAGCCTAACTCTAAATCAAACCCACAGTAGGCAGTTTACCGATTCCTTTTCATCCCTGCCCTTCAGTGACTTGCGTTCAATCCCACAGCTTCCTAAAATCAAGGTTAAGCTCCTGGGAGCAGGCGATGGCTTTTGGGCTTTCCTCCTTCATAGTGGGGTCCACTTATCCCAGAGGAAGCTGAGGGAGTTTATGGCAACGGCAGCTAAGAAGTAGCCCAGGCTCCTCTCCTCCTTCTGCCCAACTCACCAAATCTGTATCCGTACTTTGATGCCATCTACCTCTATGGTCTTCATCTTAAAGTCAACACCTGAGGAAAGAGCACAGGCAAGAAAAGAAGTCATCTGCTGAGACCCGAGTAGGAGGAGTCCAAGGCGCTCACACTTCGGGGATTTTCTTTTGGCTCAGTGTGGTAGAGATGGTATCAGGCAGCGATGGCGCGTTTTAGAGCTATCAGAGATAACAAACAGCTGACTGTGGCATGCATGCTGTGGATTCGCCACCGCTGGTATAAATAAGGTAAAGGCCTTCTTGAACCATAACCTGATCCTAAAAAAGTGTCCAGTGTTTCCCTTCCTGGACTGAACTGAAAGTTGCCAGCAGTAGAGGATTCCAGGGAAACGGAGGCAGAAAGCAGATTGCAGAGTTGTGTTTCACATTGCATAAAATGATCCTTCCTATTTATACAGCTGAAGAGACCACTTGCATCCATCCTTCTTTAACCCCTAGGAATTGGAATCCACATCATCTGCCTGGGTCCCTCCAGCACCTCTGTCTCGTTAACGACCAGGAATGTGGGGCGAGATGGACGGTGGAGAACGGCAGGGGGCGCTGTTGTGCACGACGGAGCGGGAGCAGGAGCAGAAGCTTTGCAGGCTGGCTTACAGATTCTTGTCCGCTTAACTCATAAGGATACTTTTTTGGGTTTTTTTTCCCCTCTATTTATAACAGGGTCTGCAGGGTCTCACTACACAGATCGGACTCAGTGATTCTCCTGTTTTCAGCCTCCCAAGCGCTGGGATTACAGGTGTGCGCCACCACACCCAGTCTCAATCGCTCTCTGCGCGCCCCCCCC